GATTGAGACACCCCTTGGAGAAACAGTTTACATACCACTCGGAGCCGAACCAATCATCGTCAAGAATAGATCAAATATGGGTATCAAGTGAACTAACGTTAAGAACCCAAAAAATTGAAATTCTGGCTAAAGTCATCTCAGACCACAATCCACTAGAAATGGAGTTAAAAGGATTTGAAGAGCGATCTTTTAGGTGGAGGCTGAATGATAATCTTTGGAATGATCAAAAATTTGTGGAAAAAATGCGGAACAGATTGTCGGAATTTTTTCAGGACAACTTAGATAAAGGGACAAAGATAAGTGTGGTATGGGAGGCAAGTAAGGCGGTAATGAGGGGCCTACTTATACAGCAAAACGTGTGGAAAAGAAATAACAGGGAAAAAAAGACCAAAGAGATCTTGAGACAGATAATGGACAAAGAACAAAAACTGACTATAAAACCCAATAATGAGAAGATAAAGCAAGAAATAAAGACTTTACAGACTCAATTTGCAATGCTAATAGATAAGGAGGTCGAATGGAATATAAAAAGACTACGACAGAAAAACTTCGAGTTTGCTAATAAATCAGGAAAATGGCTTGCTTGGTTGGTGAAAAAGAGGAAAGAACAAAATACAATTACTAGGATTCAAATAAACGGAGAAGAAACAACAAGTCCAAAAGAAATTAGGAGAGGATTTGTGGATTTCTACAGGCAACTTTACAGAAATAAAGAAAGAAATAATGGGAAAAAAATAGAGAGATATTTAAAAGAAAAAGGGGTGAGGAAGATCCCGACGGACCAAAAAGAACAATTAAATACCCCAATAAGAAGAGAAGAGGTAGAAGAAAGGATAAAAGAGTTAAAAAGAGGGAAAGCACCGGGTCCAGATGGGTTCACATCAAGTTATTATAAAGAAATGAAAGATGAATTGATAACACCACTGACAGAAGTAATGAATGGTATCTTAAAAGAAAGAGACATCCCCAAGACGTGGCAAGAAGCTTTTATAACAATTATCCCTAAACAAGATTCGGATCCAACCCAGGTGAAGAATTATAGACCTATCTCCTTATTAAACACTGACTATAAGATCTTCGCGGGAATCCTGGCTAAAAGACTTAAAAAATTATTAATTAAAAGTATACATAAAGATCAAACCGGATTCCTACCGGGTAGGCATATAAGAAACAACACAAGGAACATAGTCAACATTATCGAATATTTGTCTGAAAGGTATGATAAACCAGCAAGTTTAATTTTTGTAGACGCAGAGAAAGCTTTCGATAATGTTACATGGGACTTTGTGTTGAAAAATTTGGAGTTAATGGAGGTGGGTAAGGAATTCCTCAATGGTATAAAGGCTATATATACAGAACAAAAAGCGAGACTTATAGTTAATAATGTTATCACCGAAGACATAAAAATATCTAAAGGAACAAGACAGGGATGCCCGCTGTCGCCTTTGCTATTTATAGTGGTCCTAGAAGTTTTGCTTAACGCAATAAGGCAGAATAAGCAGATCAAAGGGGTAACTGTCGGTTCAAATGAGTACAAAATCAAGGCCTATGCAGATGATGTAGTATTGACAGTAGAAGATCCCGGCGAAAGTATAAAGGAGATTTTAGTGGAGATGGAGGAATTCGGAAACCTAGCAGGATTTAAACTAAATAAAAGCAAGACCAAAATGATCGTTAAAAATATGGACCAAGAACAGATTGAACGCCTGCAGCAGCAAACGGAAATAGAGGTGGCAAAAAAGGTTAAATATTTGGGAGTCTGGCTGACCAATAAGAATATTGATCTATATCAAAACAACTATACCCCAGTTTGGAAAGGACTGAAAAAAGATATGGAGGGCTGGGCCAGAATGAAACTGTCTTTCTGGGGAAGAATATCAATGGTCAAAATGATGGTGGTACCCAAGTTGCTATTCCTATTTCAAACAATACCCATAATTAAAGGAATAAAAGACTTCAAGGAATGGAAGAAGGTCATCACAAGATATGTCTGGGAAGGGAAGAAGCCCAGAATCAAATATAAGTTATTAACAGAGATAAAAGAAAGAGGGGGCTTTGCTCTACCAGACATTAGACTATACTATGAGGCAGCATGTATATGCTGGATAAAAGAATGGGTAAAATTAGAAGATAAAGAGCTCTTAGACTTGGAAGGAGTTAGCAACAAATTCGGGTGGCACGCGTACCTATGGTGCGACAAAAAGAGGGTGCACAGGGGATTTAGTACTCATATTTTTAAAGGACCACTAATTGAGGTTTGGGAAAGATACAAGAATATATTGGAACCAAAAACTCCACATTGGCTTTCCCCCTTAGAGATAATTGGGTTAAAGAAGATTAATATGAGAGAAAAGTGGGGAACTTATGGAGAGATGGCTATCAAGGAAGATGGGAAATGGAAAATAAAAACATACGATCAGGTCAAAACACTCACATATGATTGGTTGCACTATTTCAGGATAAACGAAATGTTTAAAAAAGAAGTGAAGGAAAGGGGGTATGACGAAAAAAAATCAGCCTTTCAAAGTGAAGTAATTGAGAATGATTGCAAAATCTATCAAGAATGTATAGAATGTTGCTGGAGGGGGCTAGGAAGGAGGAGGAAACGAATTTTGTGATGGCGCAGTGGGAAAGAGATTTTGGTTATAATATCCAGCAGGATGATTGGGAAAAGCTGTGGAGAGTAAACATAAAATTTACGGCGTGTACGTTACTGAAGGAAAACATGATGAAGATGCTATACAGATGGTACATAACACCCGTAAAACTGGCTAAGATGTATAAGGTAGACAACAAATGCTGGAAATGTAAACAGAAAGAAGGGACACTGTACCATCAGTGGTGGGTCTGTGAGAAAGTAAAAGGCTTCTGGGAAGAGGTCTATAATGAAATGAAAAAGATATTAAGATACACCTTTTTGAAAAAACCAGAAGCCTTCTTACTAGGTATTTTAGGAAAAGACATTAGGAAAAAGGACTGCAAGCTGTTCCAGTACGCGGCAACTGCTGCTAGAATAGTAATAGCTCAGAAGTGGAAACAGGAAGAGAGTCCAAGGATAGAAGAGTGGAGAACAAAGTTGATAGAATACGCGGAATTAGATAGACTAACCGGGAAAATAAGATATACCAAAGATCAAAAATTTATTGAGGATTGGGAGAAATTTGTGGGATATCTGGAAAACAACTGTGATGTAAATACAACGCTAGTGGGGTTCAAAGAGGCGCTGTAAATAATTGGTAAATATTGCCTACTGGAAATCTAGAGGAAGGGGAGAACAAATGGCAATAGGATTGGATGGAATGCGATTTAAAGATATTATTTCGAGTGATTGCCAAAGACGCTGTAGGAAGTCCAAAATGTTGTATCTTATTTTTGACTTCGGAATTTACTGTATGATCTGTTGGAACTTAATAAAATTTCAAAACGAAAAAAAAAAAATAGAACTTGACTGGCTTCAGAAGGCTCCTGCTTTTTTTGACTTCCAATCAGAGACATTATGTATTTGCCCCCAACAAAGCTTCCAATGAAAATTCCAACAGGAAGCTGGGTGACGTGCGTAGTCTGTGTTTTAGTTTTGACACAAACAGCAGGATACAGTACTTCAGTTAAGAAAATCTGATTTGTCTGAAGTGCATAAAAAAACAATGTGGGTGCTAAACAAGAAGAGCAGGTAAGAGACTGTCTTAGCTCCTCATGTGATTATCAGCTTATCATGCCAAATCTGGATACACCCAAATTACAAAACAAAAAAGTTCAACTGTGCCAATGATACTTGGTTCAAGGACTGGTTCAATGTGCAGTGTTCAAGGACAGTGCCTTTGTGAACAGTGCCATCTGGCGTGAAGGTGGGGTATTCAGGTATCCCCAAAAGAGCTCTCCTTGGTTTGCCCACTTGAAATGGATTATGTTTGACTTATCCTTCCTTCAAAACTGAGCAGATACCAAACAGAAAAATTGTAAAGCTATACTAGTAACTTTCCTTGGAGCCATATCTATATGTATGCTTAAAGATTAACCAGTTTATTATGGAATAAGCTTTCTTGGGCTAGAGTCCGGTTCACCAGAAGCATCATTCTTAGTAATCCATGAAACCTATGCATTAATACTGTTAGATGCTTGTTCATTTCTGAAAATAAAATATAAAAAAACAAATAATCAAAAGACAGGTGGTGGATAAAACTGCCCCAAAGGTACACAATAATTTGTATGTGTGCTTTTTGTACACCGTTATATGGATTTATTTATAGAAGATTTATACTCCGCTTGATTGTGTGTGTGGGGGGGGAATCCCTCAAAGCAGTTCTCAAAAGAAAAAACAGTAAAATCAAGGAAAAAAATCACACATCTCCTTTAATACTAATGCAATTAAAATTACCTCAACTTTTTATGCATCTGGGTAGGCCTGTCTAAACAAGAATGTTTTTAGCAGGCGCCAAAAAAAAGTGCAGGGAAGGTGCCTGCTTGAGCTCAATAGGCAGGGAGTTCTAAAGTGCAGGCGCTGCCAAAGGTCAGAGTTCTTACAAATGCGGGTATTTTGTGGCACCTGTAGTAATACCGGTTCCGTCCTATAGCGCATGAGCGAGGCCCTACATCAGGCATAGGCAAACTCCGGCCCTCCAGGTTTTGGGACTACAATTCCCATTATCCCTAGCTAACAGGACCAGTGGTTAGGGATGATGGGAATTGTAGTCCCAAACATCTGGAGGGCCGGAGTTTGCCTATGCCTGCCTTACATGCTGCAGGCTGAACAGGTGTAGAAATACAGACCACTGCTTCCTCCCTCCCTCACAGTCTTTCCACTTCATTCAAAGAACACCTCCCTGTCACTGCCTACGGAAACGCTCGGTGCCCGTTTTAAAAAGGCGCCCGAAACTACGCCTCGCTTCGGACCTCTCGGGACAATGCGCGAGACTACATTCCGCCCCGAACGCAAAAAGCGCTTCCCTCCAAGCCCGCTGTCTCTTTAAAGAATGAATCGGGATCCGATTCACGCTACGTACCCGCCTTCCCCGCCTCCGCCGCCCAATCCGCGGGGTCTTCGTGCCGAGACGGGGGAGCCAATGGGGACGCTCCACGAAGGGCAGCGCCGTAGGGACGTGGCTGAAGGCGAGAGCCTCGGTAAGTGACATGCCCTCCCGGCCAATCGGATCCAGGCGTGAATCCAAGGGCGGGAAGTTAGTACCCGCCGGAATCAATGGGGTAGGGAAGCACCCGAGCGTCGGAGGCGGAGCTCGGGCTGGGAAGAGAGGCGGCGGAGTGGGTGGGCGGCTGGCGGCGCCGACTCTCTCTCTTTCTCTCTCTCACTCACTCACTCTCCTGAGGGGCACGTGACAGGAGCCGCTGGGGCTACTACAACCGAGTGCTTCGGCGGGTGGGGTGCGCCGAGAGGTGAGCGTTCCAGTCTGTCCCCCCCTCTCAAAAAATGAAACCATCATTTGAATCTGACAGGGTGGAGTAGAAGAAGCCTTTTGGTGGGCAGCCCCTCACTCGCCCGCGGAGAGAATGCCGGGACTCTGGAGGGGGGCATTTTGATCCCAGGGAGGGCGGTGAGGGGTGGGTTGTCCCATTGCATGTAGGGGAGATTGGGCCATGGGGCTTAAAAGAGGGGAGATGAGAGTGACGGGGGAGGGGGGCAGTAAGGCCTAAAGTGTCAGGCCAGGTTGTGGGGTGGGTATTGATGCGGTGGGTCCGCAAAGTCTGGGCGGTTGAGTCTTTTTTGGGGGGGCAAGGGCCCGCCAGGAGCAGCCAGGCCTGGCCTGCTGGGGTTTTCTCTCCTTTTTTGGGGGGGGGTACAGAGGAAGGAGAGGCGTCGCAGGCGCACCGCGAGTGGGGAAGTCGGGCCTTCCCCGTTAGGTCATGCTGTGGCAGCGCCGTGAGACCTGCTCGCGAGTAGCACATGCGCGGTATGACTAATCACTTGGTAGGTCTGCGCGGTCATGCCTTGGAGTATTTTTGGGGGGGGGCCTCCTCCGACTGGGCTGGGGACACGGGGCGTCGAAGGAGCCCGCAGTTTCTCACGTCGCGTATTCTTGAATATCAGAAAAGGAAGAAGGGAGAAATGTGGCGGTTGTGGGAGAGGCCTCACCGCAGGAGCCCTCCCTGCCCCCTGTTGGGTTTAAAGAGTATGCGTGACTTTGTGACTATTTTGTGGCGCTTTTTCACATGAGGAAAGAACATGGGGCATGGGAGTGGATTTGGCACAGGCCAGTTTAATAAAATGGAGTATAAGTCAGGTATGGTGACGTTTGAATGGATTGATGACTTGGGAACGGTTTTGCACATTTTGTTGCTGCATGTTTTCTAGTGGGCATTCTCAAAACTGGAATTTAAGCTATTTTAGTGCTGAACTACTTATGCAGAGTACCAGGGCTCCCAGGACACATATTCTGGAAATAATTGCGTGGGCAGGGAAATGTGCAACATAAAATAATTGAAGTTAAAATTAAGTCTTAAGACTGGCTTGTACTTAATATAGATTACTGGCAACAGTTGCGTGAATGTGATTTTTTTCTTTTTTACTGGAATTGGGTAGTCAAAGAAGATAAGGGCAAAAGTCCTGTCTGGTGTGAAGAAGGAAGTGATAATTTTGCAATGTGCCAAGTGAAAGCAGAAAGAGGACAAAGGTGAACTGCAAAGGGAGGGTAAGGAATTCTCTAAACTATAGAGGCCTTGAACTTCAAATGGATAGTGTAGTAACTTATTGCAGTTCACACAATACTAAGGGGGGAAGTATTGGGGTATTATATTGGCACAAGTAGTAACAATTTCTTGTTTCTGTTATGTTGCAGTTATGTTGAACTGAAATTGACAGAAATTTCCTATATATGTTGAGAGGTTTAGGTGTTGCCTTAAACACGATTCACTGCCTTTATTTGGTATGGAGTTAAGTTAACTGGTGGGTGTGGTGTCCTAAAATAACTAAAAAGCTGATTTGTATGTAAAGGGACATACAGTGGGTGAGTCTGACTCCATTGCCTTCCTACATTGCTGCCCCACTGTTCATACTCAAACTAATTTTTCCTTCTTGCCCTCCCTCTTAGGAGACATCAAGGGGCAGCTGCTATTGGCACCCTTCTAATCTTCTGTGATGTAGTTCTAAGGGCTGCTGCTCTCCTTCAGGACTGCAGGCTCCAAAGCTGGAAGGAAGAACAGTAGCTTGGAATTTGCATTTTGGAGGCCCTCTGTGGCACCTCATGCATGAAGCCCCGTCTTAAAATAGATTATGTGTATCTCTCCCCCCCTTTTGTCCCCAAAGAAACTCAGATATATAAACTCAGTGCCAAATGGCTTCCTAAACCAGGGTTACAGTCGCCAAAATGCAATGCCTAGTTGCCATTTTTGTGCCAGACAGAAGTCATTTTTCAATATGACTTTTTGGTTCCTGAAATTCATTCTGATTGTGCAGATAAAATTCAATGGATAGAATTGTACAGGATGCATTGCTAGTGTGTAAAAAGAGTCCTGATCCAACGATCCCCAGATATGCACCTCCAGATGGTGGAGATCTCAGGCAACATCCTGAGGCAACTTGGGCACAAGTGGCCGATAGCCAGGTGCAAAATGTATCTGGCGCATAGTGAATTTCGAATGCTGTCCACAGATATAGCTGAACTGTACCTCCCTTAACAACTGTTTATTGTTATTTATGGAGGCTCAGGTCACAGTTAGTGAACCATGGATTTAAAATATTGATGACTTGCTAGTTCAGTGGAGTGCAAACTTGAATGAAATCTCTCCCTGCTAGTCATTCTAGTTTGATCTAAGAAATACACTTAATGTGGAACCTAATATCCTCTGTAACCCTGGGTAAGGGGTTAGGCATTATTAGTACAGTGGTACCTAAGTACTTAATTCGTTCCGGAGGTCCATTCTTGACCTGAAGTACCACTTTAGCTAATGGGGCCTCCTGCTGCCCCTGCACCGCCAGAGCACGATTTCTGTTCTCATCCTGAAGCAAAGTTCTTAACCTGAGGTACTATTTCTGGGTTAGCGGAGTATGTAACCTGAAGTGTATGTAACCCGAGGTACCACTGTACTGGGTAAAATCTGGCCTGTAAAACAATTTTACGACTCACTACTGCTGCACCAAATTTAAATAAAGGTGAGAGTTACATGAGAGAATTTATATGGGTTTAATAATAATAATGTCAGAAGTGTTCTCATTTTTTTCACTAGGACGACGAGGCAATAGCCCCTTGATATTTTATTTATTAAATTTGTATACCACTCTCCATCCATAGATCTCAGGGAGGTTCACAGCATAAAATAGTTGAGTAGAAAAGCATGCATTTTGACCATTGTTTGTTGGAAAACCTGGTTCAGAAATAAAGACTAAAAAACTACACCCCCATGAAATACTGTATTAAACTGTATATTTGGGGGGGGGGATGTGATTTTGTATGTCGGCTTGCATTTAGAATAGAAAAATTTAGATTCGAAGAAGATAAATTTGTCCAGCTGTTTTCTTCTGCCTCCTGGTTTCATATTATGCCAAAGTACTTTATGCTGCTCTATTTTATCACACTGTTCTCAGCACAGAACTTCCCAGTGTGTTACTAACTTCACATTCTATTTCTGTGAGCAGTAATACACACATTCAGATACCAACAACTGTACTCTCTTTAGTAGCTGTAAACTGTTTCAGCTAAACCTGAAAAGGCACTACATGGTAGCTCATAACTTGTTACAAATCCCATTTGTAATGTATTTGCAAACATGCAGCTTTTCTCAAAAGAACAGATAAAACAATCTGCAAACACTTTCCCATGTACTCTTAATAACCTTTAACAATTAGTGCTTGGTGTGCACAACATAATAGTATTTGCTTTAATTACTTCAAGACAAGTTATAGAAGATATATAGAAAAGGGGCAACTTGTATGCTAAATATTCATGTGTGTATTTTAAAAACTTCCAGTGTTTGCCAAGTTATAAGGAGATTAAAAAAAGTCAAGAATTCTTCTTGGAAACTCGATCCTCTAAAAGGTCTCATAAGAATTGGTTTATCCCCCCCCCTCGCAACAACCAACCATGTGCCTATGGCATGCTTAGAATCAGAACATGAAGACTACCCCTTTCCTATTTATCCTCAGTGTTGGATATTCAGATGCATATTGATTCCGAAGAGAAAGGTTCTATCACTCAAATTAAAACTGTCAGTTACCTCTAGTTCTGTAGGAGCTACACATACCCTGATCCACTTTGTAGTTAGTACCCTAAATTAAATGCTAAAAGCAAATTAACCTGCTTGCTGTGCAGGCCTTGGTTCTTTTTGCTTATAAGGCTATTTTTCTAATGGCAGAAGGACAGAAGTGTTGGTTACCACTTGAGCAGACTAATTTGCTTTTCTTCTGCAGGCGACAAATGCTCATCACAGTAGAAACAATCTGTTTACAAAGCAGAATTTGCTGGAAAGCCAAATTAATCAGCAGGACTGTCGTAGATAGGAAAACAAACACTTGGTAGTAATATCCACAAATCAGAATATGAAGGGAGTGTAGCAGAATACATTTAAAAGACAGAAATCTCCAGGTTTTCCTGTATTCAGTTTCAGCTGAGGTGTTGACTTTAGCTAAGCATCACTGTCCTGTAGATGTACTTGAGCTAAGTACTTGCATTCTGGAAGCAAATGTGCATCTCAGCTATCCATTTTTGGATGTTCTCCCCCCTCCATATAAGACATAGTCTGAGTGAAGAGGCAACAAAAGTTGTACATCCCTAGGATTATATCACCTCTACAATTTGGCTTGCTCTGTGCTAGAATGTTGGGGTCATGTCCAAGTTTTGACTGCAAGACCTAAGAAAGACTCAGACTTCCATGTACTAAGGTCTTGGATTTTGTGTATTACAGCTTTCTCTGTAGCAGAATTCTCCCTAATGTGGGAGTAGGCTAAACATTTTGGGATAAGACTGTGTCCCAAGCATCTTTGTATTTATTATAGAAACAAAAATGTTGTCATTCCAGTGAACTGGTCTGCAAGCATATGTCTGTAGCTTCCTTTGCGCTTGATTTTGGACCCCTTAGGAAGTACTGGAATCCCACCCCCCTTTTCAGCTGAGACCTGTGGGTATAGGGTGGTATACAAATTTAATTCAATAATAGGCTCTGGAAACAGTTTAAACACTAGAAATCTTAACAAATGTATGATATAAGATACATGAGAGTGCATGGCAGTCTCTTCTGTTCCCTGGCACTTGGTGAAATGATCAACATCCAGGCTGTTCCCTCCAGAATGTGGAGTTGGAAGGAGCTGTTTGTTGCTGGACATGGACTGGCTAATGGGAAAGATGCCAACCCCTGTGTCTTACCCATCACTTCCAAATTTGGGCTGAGTGCAAAAATGTTTCATTTTAAAATCTTCTAATATATGGTGGGCTAATAAATGTGCACCAAATACAGTCATACCTCGGGTTACAGCCACTTCAGGTTGCGGACCGCCAAAACCTGGAAGTACCGGAACAGGTTGCTTCCGGGTTTCAGCGGTCACGCATACGCAGAAGCGCTAAATCGCGCTTTGCGCAGAAGTGCCGAATTGCAACCCGTGCACGCACAGACGTTGGTTGCGAATGTGCATCCCGCACGGATCACGTTCGCAACCCGAGCGTCCACTGTATTAGCTTCCTTGTTTTTTCAGAAATAACCATGTAGGGGTGAACTTCAAAGCTCTGGTTTTGGGGGGGAGAGGTGTACTAATGTCCCATTCTCTCCTATGTATGATATTTGTCATGCTTTTAAATGGCCCTCTTTTCTGGAATCCTAGAGATATGACTGAAGAATTAGTTTATATCCCATCTTTCCTCCAAGGAGGTCAAAGTGGTGCTCATGGTTCTTCCCCCAACTTATTTTATGCTCACACAACCCCATGAGTTAGAAGTTGGACTGAAAGGCTGTGCCTGTTCGAGGTCACCCACTGAATTTCATGGCTGAGGGGGGATTTGAATACTCATCTCCCAGAATGAATCCAGCGCTCTTTGCACCACACTGGCAATGTGCAATCCTTTTTATATTCCAAAAAGCCCCTCTAGGTGATGCATGCAGACATAGGCTGTAAACATTTGTCTTGCTTAGTGGTTTTATTTAGTAAAAGGTTACTTTTCATAGTTCTTGTAATGCAGGGGTAGCGAATTTGTTGGCCCGATTTGGCTCACCAAGCCATTTTCAAAAGACACATCAGCCTATGCCGAAATAGACTGGTGGTGGTATTTTCAGTGGTAGCTTCAGCAGTGGTGGTGTAGAACAATCTGCCACCATGAGAAACAATCAGGATCCCTCTGGGAACAGGAAGAGGCACTCTGATCTATTCCAGTGTTTCACTAGTACTCTGGTATACTACTTCCTTTTTTCTGAGCACTCCAATCTGCTCTCAATGGTAGCAGGCTGTTCTGCGCCACCACAGGGAAGCTGGAGGAAGAGAGACTCACCACTGCTCTGCTATCTGTGCTTTTCACCATAACTGCTGTTGGTACTCTCAGTAGAGCAAGGGAGCATGATGGAAACAAGTGCTGGGGCAATTCCTTTCAGCTATTGATGACGCTAGTGCGGCAATGTGTATTGTATATATGGGAGTGTGTCGGTGGGTGTCTGCTTTCTGTTTGGCCATGTGCACCTGGCTTGTGGTGGTCCACTGAGGTTGGCCATCATCGAATACTGCCTTTGGGCAAAAAAAGAAACTAGTCACCCCTGAAGGTTGGAAAGAAATGTTTATGAATCAGTAGGCAGAGATTTTCATTGGCCCAGAGGTAAGACCATCTGACCAGTGTCTCCCTTTGTTTCTGCTCACAGAATATCAATGTGTGCATTTTGCACTTGTGTCTACATCTATGACAATAATAGCATGAAAACAAAGCATGAAAAGGGGACAGAACGGAACTTTGTATAAAATGCAGGTTTGCTCATAAGACTGGAACAGCCACCAAAAGCTGTGTTGTTTTTTTAAAGGCTTTCAGTTATGAAACTTAGAGAAATTGATATGCTTGTTTCTAGTATGGCGTTCTTGCTGCTAGTTCTGACTCATTCATACTGCATTAGCTTTTGCAAGCCTCTCTACAAGTTTTACTTGTTTGGTTGTGATAAATCTCTTCATTATTTGAAGTGAAGGGATGGGGAGGAGCTCCTGTAGTAGTATTAAAAGGAACCAGGAAGTTGCGTCTCCATGGAACCAGCAGTGATACTTTACCTTTTTCCTCCTTCTGTGCTTGTCTATGTCAATATTACACGCCAGAAGTACGGTAACCATTTCATACTGGAAGCGTGTGTTTTCAGCATGGGAGCCGTGGCGAGAACCTTGAGCTAGTGAAGAAGCCAGTCAGGAGTTAGAACATGGCAAGGCGGAGTTCCTGAGGGATCTTCAAAGCCAAATAAGGAAGGGGGTGGTTGCTATGGGGACTGCTTCCTGTTTCCTCTTGGGTGGGGGTTCTGTGTGCTGTCCCACGGCAACAGCCCCTTACTTGGGCGGGGTGTGTGTGTGTTGTTTGGATACAGTAGCCTCTCCTTCCTGATATTTGTGGTCCACCCTTGGGACACCTGATGTCGTAATCAAAGGGGAAGGGTGTCTCAGAGTATGTGCAGAGTGCCTTTTCATTTTCATGCCCTAAACAGCTGCCAGTTGGGGCTGTCTAATAATCCTGTTTCAGTTTTATTTTACTGGGTGCCACCTTACAAAAAACAACATTTAGCAGGGCAATGAATGACTCAATTTTTTAAAAAAGTCTTTCCAAAGCTCTACTGTTCAATTTTTAAGCCTTAAAAAAATGATAGGCAGAATGGCTATTTTACAAAACAACACGGGATTTTACCAGGTATCCCACAGGGGAGTAATCGGTTAAGGGAACTGGGGACTCATAAAGGTTGAAAACCACAGGTCTACACCATTAAATAGCATTTTTGTGCATGTATTGGCTGGGACCTAGTGATGAACAGAGAACCATTTTGGTAGCATATGCCTAATAGTGTGCATATATGTTGATTTATGTTGATTAGCCCTTTCCTTTGCTGGTAGGCGTAGTGATATTTCATGCTCATTTTTTACCCTTATGCATAGACCATGAAGCAGAAGTGGTTGCTGTGTGCAGCATTGCTGTTAGCTGGAGCCTCTGCTATCCTGGCACATGAAACTCACGATCACGATCATGATCATGATGACGACGACGTAATAGATATTGAAGATGACCTTGATGATGGCGTTGAAGAGGTAGAAGAGTTGAAGCATGAAGCGAGCACTCCACCCCCACTCCCTAAGGTTTGTTTGAATACTTAATTCAAGTGTAGATCTCCAGATAGAATTTATTAGCAAGTTCCTTCATTCTGATGATTGGACCAGGTCTGCAGCTTTCTAGCTATAATTCTAATTTTATCCGGCCCATTATCTGAGTGGGGTGCACTCTTCCAAGTTGTTGCTTTCCTTTGGCTGCTAGAACTTGCTTCTTGAAAAGATGTAGAAAATTCCTGCATCCCAATTTAAGTTGCTGCACTGTCCAGAGAGGCTTCTCCTGTTGTTTAAAGCTTTGTGCTGTTTGCATGGGTGTAGTGTAAGGAAAGCCCATGTGGTGCTATCCATATGTTTTGGACTGCATCTCCTAACAGCCCCAGCCAAAATAGCCAAAGGTAAGGAATTATGGGAGTTGTAGTCTGCTATATCTGGCGGGCGCTACATTGACTGCTGTGGTGTTAGTAAATAGGGATGCTTGGGGAACTTATTCTTCTGAGTTCTAGTTTGAACTGATCCATTCAATGTCTTCTGGATGACTGTGTGGATCAGAAGATAGTTTTCCTTGTGTGATGTAGTTTTGGGCCTAAAAACAAACCAGACTGCATATAAAAATGCATATATGCTTAGAAGTGCTTATTTAGTGAGAACACATTCAAAAACATCTGTTTAAATCTGGTTCTGTGCAGATTAATGTGGAAATTGGACAGAGCAGGCTTTGTCGACATGTGAATGTTATACAGATGATATCAGTGGGAAAGTAGCATCATGTACATTGGAATTAGCTATGCTTGGAAACAGTAATACAATTATATTAGCAGTTTATGTCGCCATCATAGAACTATACCAAGACATTATAGCAATGCAACATAGCTTTGTGTTGTACAGTGGTACCTCTGGTTGCGGACATGATCCGTTCTGGGGTGCCGTTTGCACCCCAAATAGTCCGCAACTAGAGCGGTGCTTCTGCGCATGCGCAAAGTGTGCAAAACGCTTCTGCATGTGCATGCGCGGCGAAACCCAGGTTTGCCGCATTTGCAAGCTGAAAAGACGCAACATGAACCTAACGCAACACGAGGTATGACTGTATGCCTAGCTCTCTCTCATGTTTGCCTTCTGGGCTCCTAGATCTTTAAGGCAGAAGGAACATGAAAATTGAGCCATGGGTTGCGTTCATCATAGTGCTGAAGACAACATTTCATCAGCACAAGGATTTATCCTCCCGCATGCCCCCTAAATTCCACCAAAACTCCAGAGCAGTTTTGGGGATGGTGCAAGGGGAGAAGGACATCCCTTTGTGGTAGTTCTAATATTTCTTTCACTACTATCCTATGAATTGCTAGTGTAGTGCTACACTACACCCTAAGGTTGGAATCTGCAATAGGAAGTAGAGTAACGCAATGAGTTCAAATTTCTAAACTATTATTTGTAGTGTTCTTTCCAGTGAAGAGCTGTTTCAGTAATTCTGCTGTTCAATAAGAAGTGGAATAGTTTGGGATATTAACATACAAACTATGGGCAGTATCCAAGATGTTCCATTAGCACAAGGACTTTTGCCCATGCCACAGAACTTTTCCTGCCTCTCCTTTTCCCCAACCCCAAATCTGTTCAGGAGGTTACCCCAGCCCTTCAGAGCCAATTTGGAGAGGGAGGGGAAGTTTTATTGCACTAACGGAAATACTTGTGCTGTCAGAACAAGTGCATTGTGTACCCAAAAGCATATTTGTCAATTCTACTTGATCACAAATAATATGAATTGGTTTATAATATTGTTCAAGATATCACTTATCAAGGTATATCGGACATCTTTCTCAATCAGGTTACCTATAAGGCCCCAGTCCCAACAGGAGATGTTTATTTTGCCGAGAACTTCGATAAAGGAACTTTAGAAGGGTAAGTTTAAGCCCAAGAGGTGTTAGTAGATTTACAGAGAGATGTTTCTGTTGTGTGCATTAAAAGCATTTATATACTTTTTGCCTCAGTATGAGTAATTCAGTGGGGCTCACATAACAAAAAAGCAATTCTAAACAAAGTCAAAGCAAAATGTACACAGGTACTTGGCAGCAACCAATAATCACAGTGCACTACCATGCAGATACATGGTAAAAGATTAAGAAGCGGGTCCTCAGATGCATGTGGGGATTAAAAGCGGGTCCTGGGTCTGAAAAGGTTGAAGATGTGTGTCTTAGGGCATGGCATTTCAAAGCCTAGGTGTTGAAACAGAAGGCCCTGCCTTACATCTCTGCCAAAGTATATCTTAGTTATAGTGCACCAATCACAGAGCCAGCAATTTGTTACCAGTGAGCCATTCAGTTGCAAGTTCTTAGACTTAAATATTTCAAATGATGGACATGTGGTAATATGCATATTTATTGAATTTGTTGCAAGACATACTAATTCACTAAATTATGTAATTACAGAAGATAAAAAGGTGTTTAAACACATTTAAGCTATGCAACGCTCTCATATCTGGTGCCTCAGTTTGCTTCTCTTCCTTTACCCTTCTTTTCTCCCTTCTCCTTTTTTGCTATGTTTTTTAGATTGTAAACCTGAGGGCAGGGACTGGCTTGCTTGTTAATGATCGCTTGTTAGCCACTCTGGGAACTTTTTTGGCTGAAGAGTGTGTGTGTGTGGGGGGAGAATGCTTTAAACAAAAAACAACTGTTTTTAAATTTTAGGTGGTTTCTATCTAAAGCTAAAAAGGACGATATAGATGATGAAATAGCCAAATACGATGGTGAGTATAATGCTTTGCTTGGTCTTCACTGTATGCAATGACTGGGGTTAGTAGCTAAGCACAACTACTTTAACTGGCCCAGCCTCCTCCCAGTACTGGATGGTATTTTTGTTTAGGACTGTTTTATTTGTTTTTATAACAATTGTTTATATTGTTATCATATGCATGGGACCTTATGGTGAAGGGTGGGTAATAGATCTTAATCTCAGGGTTGTGGGTTCGAGTCCCACGTTGGGAGAAAAATTCCTGCAGTGCAGGAGGTTCAACTAGATGATCGTTGTGGTCCCTTCCATCTCTACAATTCTAAGATTCAAATGTGACTAAATCTCAATTGAACCTTTGTCTTGCTGTGGCACTAGTGGCCTAGTTCTCACAGAGATGATAAACCTACATCTGAACTGTGATTGCATGCATCCCGATACAAAAATAATAAAAAAATATTTTCCACATAGAAACCATCTAGCCTTATTCCTAAAATGTTTTTTGTGTGTGGAAGAAATGGTTTTTTTGTATGGAAGAACACTCCGTCAAATCAGCCCCCACTTGCAAAACTGTACAGACCTGATACAGATTGACTGCATCAGTGAGATCTGGGGCAGAGTCCTGGGAGAGCATTTAAACATTTCTGTGAACTATTCAACAGCACTCATGTGAAAAACACACGGCATAAAGCTGGCATTTATAACTTCGCACATACCTGATTCTAACAATTTCATTTTCATGTGTATAGATCTTGTTTATTGTTAGGTTGCAGTTAGGCAGTGTTGTGGATGAGTGGCTGTCCTGAGCAAAGTTCCGTGTGTGTTGTGGAAGGTTGTATTTTCTCATAAACTAGAGCTGTAGTTTAATGCAGTCAGTGGTAGCTGAATTGTGCATATGGGTTCTAAAAGTGGTAGATATTTTGTGCAATGAAATTTTGGCTGCTTATGTAAATACGGTGAGTAGAAATGACACGGGGTGTGTGTGTGTGATTTCTTATGAATAGAGTATTAAATCAGCAATGGGCTTCCTGATGCGTTGTCCTGTTTCTTAATAGGCAAATGGGAAGTGCAGGAAATGAAGGATACTAAACTACCAGGGGATAAAGGACTTGTGCTGGTTTCTCGAGCTAAGCATCATGCAATCTCTGCCAAACTCACCAAACCCTTTGTCTTTGACACCAAGCCTCTCATTGTACAGTAAGTGACCCTTTTTATTTTCTATTTAGCAATGAATGGGTGTGTACACTGAGCAGTTAAGTTCGGTGGAAATGCACTCACTGTATTGTATATAGGCCTATAAGGACTGAGCTCTGTGGAAGCAGGTTTTGCCAGTTCACAGCAAAATCCGACGATTCTGTATAATGGATAGAAACTGCCATGGGCTTTTTTTTCATAACCAAAGTCAAAATGTCTTGCCTTCCTCATAATCTGGACTATAAGCTTGCTTCACTTGTAATGTTCAGACCATGGTTTGGCAGTTGGGGACTTGCTTCGGATTTCCACTCTAGATCTGTCTTTCATTTGGTGCTTTGGGCAAACCAGTATGTGCTGTGATACATGAATTGGGAAAATTATGATTTGTTGCAAGCCAGAATTGAAAAACACGGCTTAAAAGTGGGGTTCCATTTCTGAATTGAGTCGCACCAAAGAAAGAATTGAAGCATATGAGGTGAGACGAGGAAAATGCCATCTCAGTTGTGAAAGGAGGATGTGGTTGTTGTTTGAAATGAGTCATTGTCTTCAGGAAAAAATGAGGTGGGTTTTCTTTTTAAAATGAGAGTATTATTTTATATTCCAAACTAACTTAGGTATGAAGTCAACTTCCAGAATGGAATTGAGTGTGGTGGTGCTTATGTAAAGCTGCTTTCGAAAACTCGTGAGCTGAACCTGGTAAGTGATGTTCGGACTGTCTTCCACTTTCATTCATAAAGCTGTTGCCTTCTGAGTTTTAGCTCCTAATGTGTGTTGGGCTGTATCCACAAGTATGTTTACTGTGCACTTACTGTGTTTCCAGTGCTGGGTTATGATTTTTATCCAAAATACATATCCTGTACTTTTTTGATAAAATACTACTATTTGATGCATTGTTTCTCCAACCAGCTTCAGACTGTTTGGAATCCTTAAGTCACTCCTAATTTGTCTGTAGTTAAGGTGTGCGCACCTTTCTTTGCATAGAGTAAATACATCTCCACATTCCCACCCTCAATGTCCCCTGGTATGTATACAAACAGAGAACCTGACAGTAATGAAGCCACACTGATGTGAACATCTGGGGGGAGCTAAGAAGTGCATGGGCGGGGGAGGGAGAATGTCACTGCACTCTAAGGCAGTAATGTGAGCACACCTTTGGACTTCACTTCCAAACTGAGTATGTTCAAGGACTAGTTGTGGCTGTAAGAATAGTCTGCTGGCCTACTTATCTACAGTTAGAGCAGTTTGTGGGTCTATCATTATTCTCATGATTTCTGTAGTCTACCAAGTATGTGTTTGCTGAAAAATTATTAATTCCTTGCCTTTTGGATTACTCTAGATGGCACATTTCATACACCTCATATGCTAATACCATGAAAAATGCCATTGAATTGGTAGCATGAATTTCGCTTTTTGACTAAGCATCCATGACTTATAAGTTGGTCGGTGCAGTGTTAACAGCAGTTTTTGAAACTTCAGGTTCCTGAATTGCACTATTAATACTCCTAACAAGGAAAGCCTTATTTTTTAGACTTTTACAATTTTGGTTGATGTAAGTCTGCTTATACACAGGTTATTGATTTCTAGATTTGTAGAATCAAAGTGTTCATAAGATGTAGCTTAGGAGCTTGTCCTGAAAGTTAACTTATGCTGTGTGTTTGAAGCTTGGGCCATATTTATATTTTTAAGGATCAATTCCATGACAAGACTCCCTATACCATTATGTTTGGCCCCGACAAATGTGGAGAAGACTATAAATTGCACTTCATCTTCCGGCACAAGAGCCCCAAAACGGGCATGTATGAGGAGAAGCATGCGAAGCGTCCTGATGCTGATTTGAAGAATTACTTTACTGATAAGAAGACTCATCTTTATACACTGGGTAAAGCAACCACATATTTGGATTTCTATGTGAAAGTCTAGTGCAGACGGCTTTTATGGAATGTGGGAGAGGCTGTTTGCAACAATGGAATGTGTTGTAAAGCAGGAAGTGAAGAGTTTTTTATTTTATTTCCTGTGTAAGAAACCTTAATGATAGAACAACTTCCTGCAGGAGAAGAGTAGACTATAAAGCAGGGAAATGGACCTTCTTGAACCTATATTTTTATAGGTTCTTCTCAAAAGTATTCAAGTTAACTTTATTTTCCTTGGTCATCCTAGTTCTAAACCCAGACAACAGCTTTGAAATCCTGGTTGATCAAACTGTTGTAAACAGTGGGAATCTTCTTTCTGATATGACCCCTGCCGTGAATCCGCCACGAGAGATAGAGGACCCAAATGACCAGAAGCCAGAGGATTGGGATGAGAGAGCTAAGATTCCAGACCCAGATGCTGTTAAACCAGATGATTGGTGAGTAGCTGTTGAAATTTAAGGAACCTTGGGAGAAGCTTGCTACAACAGCTTTTTCTGAGAGTGGCATGAAAAGAAGCATAAAGGGAAGTAACTGGAGTGTAGTTTTTCTAGCGTATTCTCTGGTTTTCTAGGTAATCCTTAATTACATTCCCATATATCTGCATGAGCATTGGGCAGAGACTGTGCTGTTTGAAAGGCCTTGAGCTAGCTGCTGTTGATCCCCCTGCTTTTCTGGCTCAGGGGATGCCAGCATGTAGCCCAACCTAGCACCTGAGAGGGGGATGAATTGGAAGCAGTTGCTAGAGACTGGAAGAACCAGGTTTATGGCACCACATTTTACCTCTCATGTCGCCACCTGTAACACTGCTATGCTTTCACTTGCTGATGACATAACTTGGAAGGGAGTGACTGTGAATTGTACTTGAATGTGGGTGTTGCATGCAAGTTGGAAAGACACACCAAAACTCATGGCTCTGAATAGTCAATCAATTAATTAAAGCATGTCCTGGTTGCATTTTATGTTTTCTAAGAGCTTCTTGGGATGCGGGTGGCGCTGTGGTCTAAACCACTGAGCCTAGGGCTTGCCGATCGGAAGGTCGGCAGTTTGAATCCCTGCGACAGGGTGAGCTCCCTTTGCTCGGTCCCAGCTCCTGCCAACCTAGCAGTTCGAAAGCACGTCAGAGTGCAAGTAGATAAACAGGTACCGCTCCGGTAGGCAGGTAAATGGCGTTTCTGTGCACTGCTCTGGTTTCGCCAGAAGCAGCTTAGTCATGCTGGCCACATGATCGGGGGGGGGGGTCTGTGGACAAACGCCGGCTCCGTCGGCCAGTAAAGCGAGATGAGCACCGCAACCCCAGAGTCGTTTGTGATTGGACTTAACGGTCACGGGTCCTTTACCTTTACCTTTTTAAAAGAGCTCCTTAGCCTCAGGCCAGGAGAGCCAGTATGATCTCTTTTCCCTGTCAGTAGATGGCGGTGGCTGGTTCTTCAGGCACACCCTCTCCTGGCTTGCTAGCTACAGAGAACTGGAGACCTGAGGAACAAGTTGAGAGTGGGGACAAAATGGAGGACAACTGGTGTTCTCTAGTAGCAAGGCCTTATTTTGTTAACCATACTTCTCATGCTCTGTCAGAGTGCTCCAAATAGCTTATGATACCCTAAAAATAATAATGATAAAGTAACATCACAATTATTACAACTGTAAAAGATATAACAGAGTGAGATAACTTGGAAATGAAAGACTAAACAGAAGGCAAACCAAAGCTTGCCTAAAGAAGTCTTTATGCCCCTTATCTTGTTACCAGCTGTGGTCATGCAGGTGGGCCTCTCCAGCTGACCACAAGAGATGGGCAGGATCAAAGATACACTTCTTTTAAATTGTTGGGGACAGTAAGGTGGTTCACTCATTGAGTTGCACCCAGAAATGACCTAGAAAGTCCCAGCATCTACAGGCCTAGAGCAACATGCTCCCTGAAAGTGTTAATGGTTTCTTCCATCTTTTAGGGATGAGGATGCTCCTGCTAAGATTCCAGATGAGGATGCTGTGAAGCCAGAAGGCTGGCTAGATGATGAACCAGAATATGTTGCTGATCCTGATGCAGAGAAACCAGAAGATTGGTAAGTTGACACTGATTCCACTTTGCGATGTCTTCAAACTAAAATAGTAACTCTGCTGGTGATCCTTAAAATAGGGGTTTTTTGTGAGCGTTTCAGTAACCACAACTAATACTTCCAGATGTGTGGTACTTAAACTTCTGTTCTGTTTTGTGTTTAATATGTCTACTTGGCATCTAGTTGTATCTGTGGAACATAGCCTGATATACTTCAACCTATTCTGTGTGTTCAGGTTCATTTTTTTCACTGATTGAAAAACACAATTCTGTTACTGGTCTAAGACAGACACTTGGCTTGTTTGCCACTTTCAAAAGCAGGTGAGAGCTGTTGCCAATGTGCTGCTATGGGCTTTCTGGAAAGCTGCTGCTTAGTCCAGCGTTCCCCAAACTGCTGCCCAGCAGCTCTTCTGGACTACAGGGGAGGGCTAGATTGCATGAACCCTTGGTCTGTACCCCTTCTTTGACTGAAATGAAATGGGGTAATGGTCATAGTGAACTTGATCATTGAAATATGGTACTTGAAAGCCCATAGCTACTGGCCCAGATAGTCAGCAAACGAGCAGGTTGATGTTTGTCATTTTGTATGAATGACATACATGGGAGTTGCTGTGGCACGCTCATATTATATATGATCACTCCTGGAAGACATGATGTGTAGTTAGTTCAAGCCCATCTAGTCATGGTTACAGTTGGAACTCTTTTAGATGAGCAGCACAAAGAAAACAGAATGAGGAGTTCAGGAGTATGGATCTGAATTAATATTTGATTATAGTAGACTTGTGACTTCTTGCCCTGACTGGCCGAAGCCAGAAGTTCTTGGATTTGTTTCTTAAAAGACTTTCTTTCAAATGCACAAGTTGATGCAATCAAAGTCTATTGTTCAATCAAAGCTGGAGGTTGCATAACAGCTTTAAGCCTTAGCCTGATGAAGAGATTGCTCTAAGCAGCTGTTGATAAGATTAATCAAGAAAGAAAGATAACTGTGAAAGGCTTTACAGATAGTGTGATCAGCATTGTGTTCCTCACACAAAGAAAGGTGCAAGCAAGTTGTGAAATTGCATGTATTCCCAAATTTTGTATTACCTAGCGTGAGAGAACACTCAGAGTATAAGAGGAATTCAGTAGTTGAGGAAAACCTATAAGCTTTGTAACATTACTTGTATCTCACCAGCTTAGAGGCATTGTTAGTGGGTGGTTTGCTAGACCAGGTGGGTGGAATATATATGTTTAGAGGTGGCAGTGGTATTGGAATTGGGCATTTGGTTACCTGATGCAGCCAGTGAGGCAGAGTGAGACACATGACTTGCCTGTTGTTGAGTGGTAACTTGGGGGTAGGAGTTTACATGTCCTTACTGGTGGATGTTATATGAGAGGTAGTGAGTGTTGGCTGAATACAGCCTTCTGCCTGAATTTACTGGCTGCATGTAAAGGCAAAAATTACTCTAGGTTGCTCATTTGATAACTTGGTGGTGGGAGATGCTAACCTGCAGGTAGATCTAGTCAGAGTAACTCTGAAAGTGTTGTAGTCCCACTCAAGTTCTTGCTGTAACTTATTTCTGCAGTAGCTCCCAGATCTGGGAAATTAATGGCCTGTTCTGGATTGAGTCTGACTCCTTCTTGAAAGAGTAGGTTCATAGCCTGGGAATGCTACTTGAGTCGTCTCTCTAATTGGAGGCCCAAGTAGCTTCAGTGGCGAGGAGTAGCTAGTTTGTTGGCTACAGTCATTCGTGGTTTGGGATTGCCTCGCCACATTCTTGCATGCTCTGGCAGCCACCTATCTCAACTACTCTAATGTGCTGTTTCTAGGGCTATCCTTGATGAACGCTTTCTGGAAATTGCAGCTAGTGCAGAATGCTGAGTTGGTGAAATCTGATGGAGCACCTCTTTGCATACCAGCCTCCTTGGGCATTGAGTTCAGCGTAGGAGGCTTTACTTTCCATTCCTTCAATGGTTGAGCCTTCTTGAGGGTTGTTCCCTGCCTTTAGGACTCATTCCCTGGAGGCACAGTTGGCTGTTTAGTTGATGTGTTCCCATTGTCATGGGGAAAGATTTCTGTTCACCCAGGCTTTACAGTGGATTTGATTAGCTTGCTCTGGATCAGAGGTGTTTGTTGCTGTTCCAGTTTAATGTGCTTATGCTGTACTTTTTAATGAACATAGGTTTTCACTTCTGTGTTTTCATTTTATTAAACAGTGTAGATTGGCAAAAGGTGGTCTTTAAATAGTGGAAATAAGCTAAATTACGCATTTTCTGAATTGTTGACACAAGTTGATTGTAAAATGAATTTGCTTAAATTTTGAATTTATTTGATTATGCTAAGGTAAGGAATTCTAGCATAATTGGTGTAATCATTTTGATTTTCAACACTGATAATTATTTCTAGATCAAAATTTCTACCATAGGTCAGAGACCTTTTAAATTTCTTGTTAAAAAGTAAATGGAGTCCTAAAACAGTGTTACCTTTTTCAGGGATGAAGATATGGATGGAGAGTGGGAGGCACCTCAGATTGCGAATCCCAAATGTGAATCTGCCCCTGGTTGTGGTGCTTGGCAACGTCCCACAATTGACAATCCCAACTATAAAGGCAAATGGAAAGCACCCATGATCGATAACCCTAACTACCAGGTAAATTATCTAGTATTACAAATTATATTTCATACTCCTATTTCAGTGTACATTCTTTGTATTCTGCTACTTTTTTCAGCTATTTAAGACTAAACTATGATCTGGTTAACACATAACACAGAGTCATGGTTTGTTTAGCCAGAGTTGATTTCTGAATCTAGCACATCAACAAACCACAGTGTGCGGTGGTTTATTGGCTAATAAAATATAGCATTTTAAAACTATGGTTTGGTGTTTTGTCCAAACCAAAGAGCCTCACTTACACATGGATAGTTTGGCTATGTCACACAAAAAACATGCCAAGATACAGAGGCATAAGGCAAAGAGCAATTGAAAATCATTTTGGCTAAACAAGCTTGGGGTATCATTATGTGCAAATAGAGTCGTTACATGTTGTAGCGTAAGAGCATAATAGAATTAAAATACTTCCAACAACGTTTTACTGATGTGTGTCTGAATTTTCCAGGAAAGGAAGCTAAGTGGGTTAAAAAACAACACACACATACATACACAAAGTCCTTATTTGAATTTAGACCTGTATCTATCTCCATATAAGAGAGTTTCTATCTACAGGATCTAGGCAGTGGTCTTTCACAACTCTGCTTCCTGGAGATGTGAAAAGCTGAACCTGGGATTTTCTCCAAACACAGCATGTGCTCTGTCATTGCTCTGTGAACAGACAGCTGCTGCAGAAGTGGGGAAAATAGCAAAACAAGAAACAAAGGGAAATAACAGTACACTGTATATATAGATGTTCAACAAGATTGTGAATATAAGCCAATAATAAAATGAAGTATTCTATTCTGTTCAGGAATCTCTGAAGGGTCATTAAAATGAATTATTGTGTTATAATTGTTCTGTTTCTTCATCAGGGCATCTGGAAGCCAAGAAAGATTCCAAACCCAGATTTCTTTGAAGACTTGGAACCTTTCAGGATGACCCCCTTTGCTGCTCTTGGGCTTGAGTTATGGTCTATGACCTCTGACATATTATTTGATAATTTCATCATCTGTACAGATCGGGCAGTGGCAGATGACTGGGGTAATGATGGATGGGGTCTGAAGAAGGCAGCTGATGGCGCTGCTGAGGTGAGAAATAAAAGCTTTGTTTCTGACAACAGACAGGATAACAGAGACTAGAATCCAAATGTTATTATTTAATTAAATTTGTATACTGCCCTATACCCACAGGTTTCAGGATAAAATCAGAATATAAAACCACAAAATACATAATCAAAATAAAAACAAGGACAACCCAATAACCCCTCCAACACATTTTAAAAGGGCATAGGATGTCAACCAACCAAAGGCTTGGTTAAAGAGAAACGTTTTTGCCTGGCGTCTAAAGGTGTATAATGAAGGTGCCAGTTGAACCTCCCTGGGGAGAGCATTCCACAGACGCGGTGCCCGTTCTCGTGTTGCCACCCTCCAGACCTCTTGTGGAGGAGGCACATGAAAAAGGGCCTCAGAATATGATCTCAGGGTCTAAGTAGGTTCATATGGAAAGAGGTGGTCATTGATGTATTGCGGTCGTGAGCCGCTTAAAGGCTTTATAGATCAAAACAAGCACTTTGAATTGGGCCCAGAAACTAATTGGTAGCCAGTGCAGTCGGACCAGGATTGGTGTAATATGCTCACACCATCTTACTTCGGTGAGCAACCTGGCTGCTGAATTCTGCACTAGCTGAAGTTTCCAAACTATTTTCAGAGGTAGCCCTACGTATAATGCATTGCAGTTATCTAACTCTGAGATTACCAGAGCATAGACAACAGTAGTTGGGCTATTCCTCTCCAGTTTAGCTGGACCCCCAGCCAAAGCTGATGGAAGGCACTCTGCGCCACAGAGGCCACCTGAGCCTCAAGTGACATCAAAGGATCCAAGAGTACCTCCAAACTATAAACCTGCTCCTTCAGAGGAAGTGTAACCCCATCAAGAACAGGTGATCTCCCACCCATCCGGCCTAGGGAACAACCTACTAACACTGCCTCAGTCTTACCTAGATTTTGTTTCGGTTTGTTGGCTCTCACCTGGTCCATTATTGAGGCAAGACACTGGTCCAGTACTTCCACTGCCTCACCTGCAGATATAAAGGAGAAATAGAGCTGAGTGTCATCAGCATACTGCTGACAATGTACTCCAAACCTCTTTCTGTTCTTTGGTCATTAACAGATTTGTATGTCTTTTTTGAGTTAATAAACACAGAGACCCCACTTTACAAATGTTCCCTATGCGAAAATTCATATCGAAACATGAGGAATTAGTACCCAAACCTTGCTATGCACACTGCAGATTCAGACATTTGAATAGAAAGCATTTTTTACTTCTTTGTTTACCTTTTGCTGGTTGGCTGAAGAATGGGGAGGTGTGATTGGATAGATCACATAGCTTCTTTTCTGGGTTTCCCTGGGCTTTTAGGCTTGGAGGGAGGACAAAATTCCATGGTTGGGTGATTGTTAGATCTCTTGGGCAGCTATATTGCCTCATAATCACTGCTAAGTACAGATAACTTCATAGATTTTGATTTGTCTTCCAGCCCGGTGTTGTGGGTCAGATGATGGCAGCTGCTGAAGAGCGTCCCTGGCTTTGGGTAGTCTACATCCTTACTGTGGCTTTGCCTGTGTTTCTTGTTGTCCTCTTCTGCTGCTCTGGAAAGGTGTGTGTTTTGGAAACAACTGGTTTCAAAAGTATGTTGAGTAGGATTGGAATTGGAAGTGAATAGTTTCTGAGAAACTTACTTGTGGAATTCCTACAACTGTTTCAGAAACAGCCAAGTGCTGCCGAGTACAAAAAGACTGATGCTCCTCAGCCAGATGTAAATGAGGAAGAGAAAGTGGAGGAAAAAGACAAGGGAGAAGCAGAAGCAGAAGAAATACATGAAGAAAAGCCAGGTAAGCAAAGTTGGTGATATTCACTAGTCCCAAAATCACTAAAGCTTTATCCTGATAAAGTTACATGTTTTAAAATTTGAAGCCTAATCTTGAATTGGAGAGTAGGCAGCAAAAAACACAAGTATCCTGTAAATAATAGTAATAAAACCTTTTTACACACTTCAGAAGAAAAGCAGAGAGGTGATGGTGATGCAGGAAGTGCTAGTCAAGAGGAGGAGGAAGAAGAGGAGGAGGAGGAGGAAGACGAAGATGAAGAAGATAGCAAACCTATTACAGAGGTAAGGGGGGTTTTTTAATTGCAAAGTGTTGCACTAGAGCAAGCCTGGAGGTAGTAACCTGTTTATAAGAGCAGCCAGCAATGCAGTGCTTCCTAATTTTGAATTGCAACCTCAGTGCCATCAGTTGATGGGATCATTTCACTTCATAACCTGTGGAATCAGTTTTGTGAATTCTGAAAAGCCAGTGTAACCTTCAAATAAATTTTGAAAAACTTGTGCGAATGGGATAAACACAGTTCTGTTGATATGAGTATTGTAGTTTAAATAAGTGGGTCCTAGTCCAGGATTGAAGAATTCATGGCCCTCTAGATGTTGTTGGACTCAACACCCATCAGCCGCTGGCGGAGGAAGAGGAGTGCGGGGGGGAGCGCACCGCCCCTGGCAGCACGATCCCATTGGGGTGCCATTGTGGCTGCCCTCCCGCCCATGCTGGGTGCCCTGCCCCTGCAGGCGGCGTGCCCCGCCCCCAGGATGCGCATTACGCCCCTGTGGGCGTGCCAGCCCCGACCCCACTTGCTCTCTGCCCCCCCCCCCCAGTGCTGGAGCATGAAGCTCTGCCACTGCCATCAGCCCCAATGGTCATAGGAGCTGTAGTCCATCAATATCTAGAGGGCCACAGATTCTGCATCCTTTATCTAGTGCAGCCTGCTCGCTTGTACAGGAAATCCAGCACTACAGCATCAAAAAAGAAAGAAAGATGGAGAACCACTATTTTAAGGTGATCAGACAACTTTCTTCTATGGCTGCTTTCTGTTGGATAATCCACTATCTTAGACATTATGCCAACCAATCACAGCTGCTCAATATTTTTTTTCAGGGGGGGGAGGCATTACAGTTCAATTGAAGAACATAAGCTTTAAATGTTTTTCTTTTTCTTTTTGGTTCTAATGTTTTTATGTGGAAGTGTTGTCTGTATGTCTGTTGGAATGTCCTGGGCAAGATAAAAGGGACTGACAAAGTCAATAAATAATAATAGATGACTATCGTAACCTGTTTTAAAAAACCTCAAACCAAGAATCTAGTACTTTTTGAGATGGGCTTTTCCACTGTTGAACAGTTCATATCGTCCGGAAGTTCTTCCTAATGTTTTGTTCAAATCCCAGTGAATAACTTCAAAGATACTTTCTCATTGCTTTCTAAAGCTAAGAGGAAATTGAACACAGGAAGTGGCTTCATATTTATGTAAGAGTTGTGTTCTTTTACCTTTACAGGAGGAAGAAACTGTGAATAGATCCCCCAGAAACAGAAAACCAAGAAGAGATTGAAATATCCTAAAAACTTGATCTGATTAATTTTCCCCAACATGGTTTTGGGAGAGGACCTTGGATACCTTTTGCTGAAACTCAAATAAAAAAAAAACCAACCTCAGACTTCACCATCCACAGGTTCCTGTCAAATGCTCTCCAGTGTAAATGAGTGTTAGCAGTAAAATATTCGCAATTGTGTTTTTACATAGAGTATTCCTGTAGAAAAAGAATGCATTTAACACAACCCAGCTAAGAATTTCTGGAATGTTACAATAACTAACATTTTTTTGTTTGAAAAATTTTGTTTTTGAATAGAATGATAGAATTGCCAGTCTCAAAACCTTGACTCAACTTAATGTATTAATCTATCAACGGAAATGAACAGCAATCCTTAGAAAATTGCTTGGTATACAATTTTTATATGTTTATTTTTCTTATTTTTCTTTTACCAAAATGAACATACTCATACATCACAGTTCCCTTAGTTTGATCATGTCAAAGTATGCTGGTCAGTTATGTTAAAACTTGTACTTCAGTCAGATAGGAGAGAGAGAGAGCTCAAATCCATTTCAAGAAACTATTATCAAGTGCTTAAATAACTTTCCTTCTTATTGGAGGAAGGGCATAATGAGGCCATGGAATACATATATTGGTCATGGGTACTGCCCAGTGAAAACAGTATTCATAATCAACTTGAATTTGAGAGTAAGTTCTGGTTTAGGTTACTAAGACTGAGACTGGATTTAGCCCTTGGAATTCTTTTCAGTATAGAATTTATTTTCATGGTGTTTTTTGGTTTTTTGGTTTTGTTCTTTTTTAAACAATTCCCCCCTCCAATGGTTTTAAAACTAATTCCTCCTGTTCTAGCTTCTGCTGCTGCTATGCAGTTTGTTCAGAATGCAGCTTAGCTGCTATAGAATGCATATGCTCAGTTCATTAAATCTGTTTGTGATGTGTGTTTTTAATCTCAAAGGTAGAACTACTTTCTGGGGTCCAAACACTGTGGATAGTACAGTGTTGCTAACATTCTCATTATTGCCATTGTATGTACATTCATGCGCAGAGATGAAGCAAAGGCAAGCCAATCTAAAGATTTGCACCAAAAGCAGATGTCAGTATTTTGCGGCTAAGGAAGGAGCATGTGAAAGCTTCCCGGGTATATGTACCATTTTGAGACTCAATCTGCTCTTCATGTATCAAACTATATTGTTAATGTAGGGGGTTCCAATTCCAGCTGAATAAATTTTTTAAAAATGTGTTGCATTTTGTATCTAGCAATTGTAATCCCTTTTTTTGTGGAATACACACTCTGCCTCTAAAGATAAAATGTAATTCTGTGCTGTTGTATTGGAAGACTAGGGGGTTGGGAAGAAAGTAAATAAGCTTGTGGGCAAAACTACTGTATGTGCACTGAATAGAAACACTCCAGATTTTTATGTGTGGATAAGAGGTTCTCAAAGTCACAGAGGTTTTGCTTCTTTAAGGTATGATTTTCACATTCAAATTTCCCTATATGCTTTTCAGGTATGCTTCCTGGCACCTGGTTTGTTTGTTTTTCCACAATAGTGTTGCTGTTCTCATTGGAGGCTCCAGAGTTCACAGGCTTAATTAACTCCTTTTAGTTGTTTAGGCAGCTGATAAAAAGAAATTGCTTCCATAGCTGCCTCTTCTGTCTTTTCCCCCTCACATGGTAGACTTGCAGCGCCCCATTCAACACCTCAGTTTGTGCTAATTGTAACATACTTTATTTAATGCTGTGTGTCATGTGAACAATCTTATGTTATTCTTTATTTCTGGTGTGTTCCTCTTTCTCCAGACTGTGAGGGAAGTTAATTTTTAATTTCCTTTTCTGATGAAAGTCATAAGGCAATTCTTAATTTGAAGCTAAAAGTAATATATTTTTGGAATTTGTAGGACCTCTTCAGAATATGCCTGTATGCATCTTTTGGCTTTTTTTATATCAGTGAAATTTGCAAAGCACTACATCATTTTTATCAATTGTTTTAAATGTACTACTTAAAGACTTTGAGCCTGGTGTGTAATTGTGAACCCATATTAAGAAATATTCCACACGAGAGGGTTGCCCCATCAACAATTTCAGATTAAAGCACGAATTTGCATATTATGGAGTAAGTTGAAGTTTCCAAATAATTTGAGGTTCTTATTCTATCTGACTTGAAGATGATTATTTTTGTTTGCTTGAAGACAACATTCAGCTGTAGGAAATCTTTTATTGCCAACACAGATGAATTTATAGTGGGGAAGAAGCTGAATCCTAAAACTGCATTGGTACCTTGATAAGACTTCTAAAGGAAAAGGTTCCCTTTCAAAGAGGATGACTTCAAGGTTAATGGGATGTTAGACTACCTATTTGGCTTTTTATTTTATGTAAAAGATAAAACTGCATTCAAGCAATTTCAGATCTATCTGTATTAGTGTGTTGAGTAAAAGGTAGATGATTTTAAGCAAGGTAATGCTATACAATGAAAAAGTGGTTAAATTTTAAAATGCTGATGTTAAAATCCACTGAGATGTGGATGTTACAGATGCCTGGAGTCTTGTGCAATTAGCCATGAATGGGGAAAGGTATCTTGGATCTTCAGTGCTTGGTTCCACTTAATCTGTGGCAGTAAATATGGTGCTAGACTAATTTCTTGGCACCTTGCTGCCTTCTCTTCACTATAGTTTTCTAAATGCCAGTATTGCCTCCATACAAGTTTCAGATGCAAACCCCTTAAGTGTTGGTAAACAAGACTGTGACTTTCTTTAAAAAGTCCTGACTGTTATTAAAAAATCTAAAGATGCGGTATGCATATAAATATATTGGTTAAGTTATAAACAAATGTAAGCTTGCTCTGATTAATAAAGAAACTTAAATCACCATTTTTCTACTGTCTAGTTTGGTATATTTTTATCTTTTAAAGTTCAGCTGATCTAAGGGCAGAGGATTCAGCAAATGCTAAAGAAAAATCTAGGCTTGGGGCAAAGATTTCCAGAGACAAAATAAGTACTGGAAGACATTACCGTCATACAAAAGGCAGAACAGTAAAATGTTCTCCATTCTCTTATGTGCTACTGAAATACCTTGAGTCCAAGCTTAACTGTCTTAAAATCTGAATTGCAACATTTCATGAATAACATCCTCTTGTTTGGATTAAGAAAGCTGAACTGTTAAGTTACAAAAATGGAATAGTTCAAGTGAGTTGCACCTTGCTTTCAACCCTGGTCATCAAAATGCAGTGGCTTGGCTTGTTCCTATAGGTTTTTAAAGATTGATTTGTTTTAGCATTAGCAGTTGTGGACATGGCAGGATTTTAATCTCCCATAACCTTTGTAGAACTGGCTACAGATAAAATTGCCTGAAAACTAACTAAACTCTAATCCGTATTTGCAAGGTTTCATTGCTTGGTCACATCAAAGCAATCACACCACACCTTCAAAGACATTTGAGATGTTAATGTGACGTGTCTCCCCACCCCCCCAAGGTAACTGACTAGTCTGGGAGTAAGTTGTCTTCTTTTGTCCAGTTATTATCTTACAGGTTTAATTAAAGCTCAACACTTCTAGGGCATTATTTTGTGTAGTGTTCCAGAATTGGTGGCTTCCAATGCTTAACTGAAAATCTGACCAGATCTTTAAAACATTCGTGTATTTTCACTCCAAAAAGTTTGCTGTTTCTTCTCTCTAGTCTAGTACCTTGTTCAAGTGAATTGCATGAGACTAGTTCAATCTTAAACATTCCTTGGTTTTAGCAGGGTGGGGGTGGGGCGTGAGGTGGGGTAGTGTTGCCTAAATGGTAAAATGTCTTGATAAAACGTCAAAACAGAATAAAAATTTACTTCCAGTAGCACCTTAGAGACCAACTAAGTTTGTCATTGGTATGAGCTTTCCTGTGCATGCACACTTCTTCAGATACACTGAAACCGAAGTCACCAGGCCCTTACATAGAGTGAGAGGGTGGGGAGGGGTATTACTCAGAAGGGTGGTGAGAATGGGTGATTGGCTGATAGGTGTGGTAAACCTGTTGTCTACTTCATAAAAGAAGTCAGAAGTTCTTGTTTGTTTGCTTCTGTGGTAGAGCTTCCAAATTTCCAGAGCCTACAAAAGAAATGTTTTTTGCTGCTGCCAGCTGTGTTTTCATTCCTGTGTTGAACCACTATATTGCCCAATTAATGAAGTATTTCGACAGTAAAACTATCAGACCCATACAGCTGCACAAAAGTATTTAATCTTTGGATTGTGGCCTTGCTTCACAGCAGGGAGCAGAAAGAAGTATCAGTTGCTGTGCGTGGTTTTCCCACACAGGCATCCAATCAGCTGTGCTGGACTTGATGGGCCACTGGGCTGATCCAGCAGGATTCTTATGTTCTCAAGAATAATGGGGGGGGGGAGTTGATTAAATTGTCGTGTCCTGCTGTATCGACAGAGGCATAAAGCCTACAGATTTTGTGTGCTGCTTTTGCTATGCATCAAAAGCCTCAACCCTAAAATGGTAGGCATTTTGCTTTAAATAAATTGTGGGCGAGAATTCTACATCTTTAATCTTGGCCTTAAGCTTTGTATAATACTTCATTAAGTCACGAGTTGTTGCTTCTTTTTTTCAGGCCAAGGAGACTACCACTAAGTCACTCTTTCAAGTACTTCACCATCTCTGCCTTCTTTGGTAGGCGGAGCAGCCGCGAAGTTCCAGCTTCTATCACCTTTTAATCACACCTAAAGCCCCGCCCTTTATCCCACTTCCGGAAAGGGCGGGGTGGCGTGGGGGAGGGGAAAAGAAGAGATCAGAGGCGGAGGGGAGGGGGAAGGGAGCTCTGCCTCGTCTTTCCGCCCACCCACCCCTCTTCCGATCTCGCGTCCGATAGGCTTGCGCTGCTGTCTGTTAAACACCGTGAGCAATGAGTGCGGGGTCGTGACGTCAGGCACCACATAGGAAACTCCTCCGCCTTCTTCGCTGGGGCTGGCTCTCGGCGGGGGAGGGGAGGGAGGAAAAGGGGTGAAACAATTTCAAGATGGCGGCGACTGAGGCGCGGATAACAATGGAAAGCGGGAGGCTTGGGTGGCTCCGGGCCTGAGCTGGGGTCGGGGCAGGAGTGAGGAAAAGTCGGCGGCGCGTCGCCAGGCTCCCGGCAGGAGGCGGGGCGGGCCCGGCCTGTAAAGGGTGGCGGCAGCGGCAGCGAAGGAGGAGGAGAAGGACGACGACGACGACTACAGGGGAAGAGAGCCGAGGCTGTGAGGGCTGCCCGGTGTCTCTGGCCGCCAGCCATGGCGGAGTGAAGCGGCCGCCTGGTCTCTCTCGTTGCCTTTCTCGCCCTCGGCTCATGGTCCTGCCCCCCTGCCCCATGGCGGAGTTCGTGGTTCCGCGACACAGCGCGGTGATGGAGCGGCTCCGCCGGCGTATCGAGCTGTGCCGGCGGCATCACAGCGCCTGCGAGTCCCGCTACCAGGCCGTGTCCCCGGAGCGGCTGGAGCTGGAGCGCCAGCAGACCTTCGCCCTCCACCAGCGCTGCTTGCAGGCCAAGGCCAAGCGGGCCGGGAAGCACCGCCAGCCGCCTCTGCCTCCCCCGGCAGCCGCTCCGCCGGCCGCCCCGTCCCAGCCGCCTCCCCCTGCTCCGGCCCCGGGCTCCGGGGGCTCCTCTGCCTCTACCTCCGCTCCTCCCGACAGGCCTGGAGTCAACGGCCTGGACGCCGACACCGCGGGCGGTGAGCAGCAGCACCAGCACGGCCGAAGCAGCGCCCTCATCGCGGTAAGGTCCCAGCTGGCGGGCCCCGGGGTTGGTTGGGGCTTTGCCCGGGGGAATCCGCGCCACCCCTTGAAAAGGACCTGTAGGGCCGTGAAGGCTGAGGCCGGTGGTCAGAAAGGAGTCGTGGCTTGGAGGGAACTTTCCTTTAATAAGGCTGGAGAGGTTTGAGGCCTCCCTCAGAGCTCGAGTTCCTCATATTGGGAACAAGATAAGAGGATGTTTGTTTCCACCTCCCCGGGCCGCTCCAGCTGTGCATGAAAGAGAAACTTGATTGTATGCTCTCCTGATTCTATCTACCCCATTCCCCGGCATATATATAAATATATATAGTCTTGTCTCTTCCAGCTTATTAAGGCAGCGTACATATGTAAATAGTGATTAAAGAAAAAGCGGGGATCTCTAGCAAAGTATGTAGGAAAAGTAAGAAATGGTAGGCTTCCAGTTCTGTTATGAGCAAAATAAAGGTTAATGCGATTCTTTACTTCCTTTAGCGTTGCTATATTTTGGCTTTACAGCGAAATGTGGCATGAGAATGATCCAGGCAGGCAGGCAAGTTGGTGAAATGCTCTTGAAACTCTGCTCATGCCCAGTGTAACAAGCCTGTGCAGATAGTCGTTTGGCAGGAAAAATAAGGACTCTATTTCTCCCATTTATATATGTATTGTTTTTTCTTCAAGGATCTTAGGGTGGTTCACATGGGAGACACTGTTTTTATTTTCACAGCAACATTGCCTGATAGGTTACTGTATGTGAGCAACTGGCCTAGTCCCTGCCATACTGGCTATGCAACAGAGGGGGAGCTTCAGTATGAAGAGTTTTTAATGGGGGTTTAGGGACCAACTTGGAGACTGGTATGGAATGTCTGCATACACAGAAATTGAGAATTTTACTCCATATAGTGGAGCCTGCTTGTTCTGGTTTTCTAAGCATATTGGTCCAATGACTGAATCCACCACATCATGTGTATGAGTTGGTGGAAAATGAAGAAGTCTGCTTATGCCTTTTCCTACTGTGGGTTTAAAAATGTAAAGATAATACCTGTCTTCCCTGTAAAAGGGTAGGTTTTGCTAACTTTCCCTATAGAATCAGGTCAGTGCTTTAGGGCTGAAGCAAGGTGTAGAAAAATCACACAAAGTTAGATGGTGTGTTAAGAAAGCCACAAATAAGAAACAGTAAAGCTGTTGTGGGTAATCCCAAACAGCTGTAGGTGACTATGTTTCATGTTCACTTTGAGATGATGCCTTTGAGTTTAGGTTTGCTCGCCTTTGAGCCAGTGTTAGAAACTTAGATATATAAGTTGGGCGCCAAATGGTTCCTTAAACCAGGGCTACATTTGCCAAAACAGAATGCCTAGTTGCCATTTTGGGGGTAGACAGCTCAAAAGTAATAATTTTCAATATGACTTTCTGGCTCCTGAAATTAATTCTGATTGTGCAGATAAAATATAGTTGATAGAATTGCTAGTGTATAAAAACAGTCAAGATCCAAGGATGCCCAAGCATGCACTCCAGATGGTGGAGACATCAGGTGCCATCTCGGCACCTGGGCATCTTCACTTGGTCACAAGTGCCCGATAGCCAGGTGCAAAATGTGCCTGGCAAATTTTGAACACTGCTTTGATCACAACTGAAAAATAGAATGAAGCTGCAACTGTCTATTCAGCCTAGCACCAGTGCTTCAAGGTCTGAAGTAGAGGCCTTTCCTAGTATTAACTTCTGTGATTATTTCACCAGGATTTAAACCTGGGACTTTTAGACAGGCAAGTCACTGTGCTGTGGCCTCTCCCAAATAAGTATCAAAATTTTGGACTCCTATTGGAATTGGAAGATATACTTTCTGACGGTAACTTTTGTGTTGAAATAGTGAAGCATAATTCCAGATACACTGGAGAGGTAGAATACTATAAATTTGTTGGGATTTTAGTTCTCCAAATTTTTCCTCATGTACCCTTACTTGTGCTTTATATTATAGCTCTGTGAAAGGATGGGTAAAGACTCAGAAACATCACATAAGCATATTTTCATTGTCTTAAGTAAGGCAATGTGTATTTCTAATGGATTCTTAGAATTTATTAATAAACATTGTAATCTAAGTTGCATTTTAGCAGCCTTGAAGAGAAGGACATGCCTTAGGGGAAAGTTGCTTACTTATGTTATTAGTTGTAGATAGTCCCTAAGTCAAAATAAGCAACCATATATCAGATTATATCCAAAGGGCATATTTTTTCCAGCATTGCTCCTTTCTTTAGGTGTAATATTTTATCATTTAAATACCAAAACCAAATTAATTACAGCAGGAACAATATGGTTGGGTATTATCCAGTGATTCCCCACCCCCAATGTACGATACATTAGTTTTCTAGCAAAGCACTGGACTTGGTCCCTCTTCTAGTTCTTTTCAAATAATCATCTAAGCTATCTCCCGAGTGCGTTTGTACAAATGCATTAATAATAGAGCTGTAGCACTTTTTCATAAGCAAGGCCCATTAAATCCAACCTCCTCTCTTCAGTGTCCAAGCCTATGGGAAGCCTGCAGGCAGGATCTGAGTGCAGCAGTGAGCTCCCTACTTGTGAATCCCAGAAGCTGGTATTTATAGATATACTGCCTCTGACACTGAAACATGTTATTTTTTTCCTACAAAATGAACATTTTAAAAACTGTGCCGTCATCCTTTAGGGTAGATAAAATGTCACTAATCTATGCTTCAGTTTTATCACCAGTGGCTATTGGCAAGTCTCCAGTGGGTAAGATTAAGTGGGAAGGAAGAAGTATTCTCTTTATTGGTCACTGAATATTTGGCTAGAAAAATGAAACTAAAAATTAAAATCTCTCACATTCCTTGTAATATATTGCGATTTATTCTTGATACAAGAGATTGACATATCTAATCTTGAATTTCTTCTGTGCCTGAGCTCATAGTGATTTTTAAATACTGAAAACAAAGAAAGTTAACTATGTTGGTAAAGTTAAAGTGAATTGCCAAGGTCAGTATGGTTAACAACACATCAGAAAGATGCATCCAAAATGATACTAATACCCTTAGTAAGCTAGGGAATGAGAAAAGGAACAAACCAGGTAACCCTTTCTATGACATTTTAGGTTGTGATCTTTGCATCTGGTAGAGTCAGGAGTTGCCTGCCCTATTAGTCATTTGTCTGTTTTAGAATTTGGCTGGACAGAGCTAGGACATAGTCAGAAGGATGGGTCACTTTAATCTTTTTCTGGCAGTGAGGTTGTAAGAAGGCCTTGTGATCTGACAATGTCTTAAATGGTATGTGTCCCAGATAGAAGGTTGTTTAAAACTTTGTAAGAAGAGCTTGGTAAATTCCTTGATACTTTAAACTTTATGTTGCATTTCAAAGTGTACGCTTTAAAATACACACTTCAGAAAGGAAAATGGCTAAGAACATAAAACATAACTCTATAACTTTCTCTTTTATACATATTTTGCATTGTATCCAATGCTGTCAGTGCATGAGCAGAACAGATTTCCACTCACACAACTGGAGCTCACTTCCCTCTTTTAACCCTGCAGTCCTCACACACGCTAAAAAACTGCTTTGTAGGTTTGGGAGACCGCCAGAAAACATTTTGGGGTGTGGAGTTGCAGAGGGTAGAAGAAGGTGATTCCTTGTTGCTCTAGTACAGAGGTGCCCAAACTTTTTTCAAAGCGGGCCAGTTGATGAAGTGAACATGCATGAGGGCCAACCAAAGTTGTTGAGCTTTTTTTTAGGATTATTGAAGTTGTTGAGTAGCAATGTTGGGTTCCACCCTTTATTGTCAGAAAAGTAAGTGTTAAGCAGAGCACTTACACCAAGTTACACTGTACACTATGCCAATATTTCACATACACCCCGTAGCCCTGATGCTGCCTTTCCAAAGCTGGGTAAGCAAGTTGCAAATCTCTGGCAGGGTCCTATAGCCCTCACATCTCCTTCCCAAAGTTCAGTGCCTTGCTTACCCACAAAGACAGCACATCTGCATGAGGGCTGGGGGGGGCATAAAATGTTGCTGAGGGCCACCAAAAAAGGCTTCGAGGGCCATGCATTGGACCACCCTGCTCTAGTATTTTCCCTTAAGCCTTTTTTTGTTTTGAATTTCCACATCACCTGATTATTTTCAGGTGTTGCTATCTATGTAACCCTCTTGCCAAAAGGAAAGCAAAAGGGTAAGAAAAGCCTGATTAGACCTCTTAATGACCTTCTAATGACTAACTGTTTTTAACATTGTGTTTTAATTGTTGTAACTCGCCCTGAGATGTCAGGGTGAAGGGTGGATAATAACAACTTTATGCTTACTTTTGAACAGTTGGACCATACAGAATGTGACCATATAGTATGGGTTAAACTTCTAATTTTTAGATGATCTTAACAGAAAAAAGCACTTATACGGATATAAGTACCATACAATCTGGTTATCTGCCCTTTCTGGTTTAGCAACAAGGAACTAATGTGCAAACTATATGCTTGATGGTATTTCTCACCATCAAGGTTTTTCTTTCAAACCAAACAATATTCTTAAGCACTGCTGGAAGAGATGTGGATGGATCTGCCCCTATTTTTGAGCAGTCAAACTCCAAATTGCTTTACCATTAAGTGTGGTAATGAGCAGAAGTTGGGGACATTTTATCATTGAATAAGATACCACCACAACTGATAATTATGTCAAACCCTACATCCTTAGTTGCCTTTCCACAAATGGAATGGCTTCTTCTGTTCATGAAAGTGACATGAGTCCATCCACCTCCCATGCTGTTTCAGAGGATCCGCCAGCCTTCTGGAAGAGATTTTACTGGGGCACAAGGGAGTGCATGGGAAGAGGAAATTGGCGAATATCACCTTTCCCCACTTCTGGTAGTCAGGTAGTGGCAGTACCCCAGGTGTGGACTTGCACTCATAGGAACTTAGAATCTAAGTCCCTCCCTTGTTTATGTTGAGGCAAGGAACACATCCAGCAGAGGTTCTTTCCTGTGGGAAGAGAGAGGAGCAGCAATTGCAGTGATT